CGCTGGGCTTTGTTTGCCTCGGGTGGCCACGGCGTGGGGCCGGTGGGGTCTGTCCCGCCGTAGGCTCTGGTCTCCCCACCGTCTAACTTGAGCTTGCGGGGAAAAAGCTCCGCAGAGCCGGTGCGAGCCGGGCCCAGGGTCCGCAGCGTCCCCACTAGAACTTTGTGCAAGTTTTCTTTGGTGCCCCTCTCCTCCGCCTCGGCCGGAGACCACATTCTCCGTTAGCCCTAAGAAAGAGATGGGGCTTGACTCTTGCAGCGTGTCCCCCTTGTTTCAAAGGGCGCTCTGGAGAGGTGACAAGGGTAAAGGGACCCGGGCGCCTCACAGCCGTCCAGGCACAGTAGAAAGGATGGCAGCGAGCCCTTAACCATCTTGCAGATTGCGCCCGTGAACGTATTTCACAAACAGCCCTGCACTGGAAGGAAGGCTCTGGCTAGGCATGCGGGGGAACCCTGCGGGAGGTAGGCTTGCCAGATAGTGTGATGGTCTCAGCCCGCGTATTGAAAGAGGAACTCACAAATGGCCCTCCTGCTCCCCACTCAGCCGGTTAGGACGCTGCTAAGGAGTTGGGCATGCTGGGGTCCTGCCGCTGTTGTATGGGGTTTTCGAGAGTTTGGGAAAGCCACGTGGAATTGGATTATCTGTGTCTGAGCTAGCTGCTGTGCTGCTCTAGCCCCACTGAAGAGCAGTGAGTTCTGTGGTCTCGAGAGAGATTCTTAACCCACGCAGGGGTTCGAATGAGGAGTGGAAGATCAGTGTAGGAGGGACTCAGAGGCCTGCCTCGACCTCCACCAGCCCCGTGTTGGAATTGGTACCTTGTGTCCTACTGGGAGATGTCATGCCTGAGTGAAGCAGTCTCTTGCAGTTTGTGCCTGTTTTATGTGTACAGCTTCCTGTGTAGGTTTAGAAACAGGAACTTAAAAGTTGTGTGTCTGTCACCTTAAAACTAGGGGAACTAGCACGGGGCCATAGGAGAGACGAAGCCAGGGCCCTATGGGGTTTCCGAAGTGATACACTGTTGCACCTGGGAAGTGTGTGCCTGGAGTTTCTGTTTCCCTTAGGTTTGGTGAATTTGGCTCAAGGTCGGGAACACAGCCTTGCATTCATTCCCACAGGCCCAGGCCAACAGGCTGCCCGGTGTCTCCAGCCCAAGGGCCCTCATGGTGTCTCTGCTTGGCAGATCAGGGACTGTGTGCTGCAGTAGGCCACCAGTCTCTTGATTTTCAGAAGTTACTTCACTGAACAGACACAAGCCTCTCTCCTGTGGGTAGCTCCAAGGAGACTCCTCTGTCAGTGTTGGTGCCCCTGGCTTTGCCTTCCTACCTTATCTTGAACTTGCAGTGGTGGTGGGCTTGGGAAGATAAGCCACATGCTCATGTTGTTGAGGGGCAGAGTTGTCCTGTAAGAGTTCAGTGTGCTAGGAAAGAGGGAGAGTCCTTAAGAGCCTGTGACTTGAGTCTTGTCCTATGTCAGTGGAGGACAGAGGCTCACAGGTCATTGTGTAGGACGGGTGTTTTGTCTTTCGAGGAAGAGGCTGATCCATCTCCAGTCGTCCTGCCTGAGTCCTGAGAAACTGGCTATTGGCACAGCTGTCCAGCTCTGTGTGCTTTTGTTTTGTCTTTTTGTTTGGGTTTTTTTGTTGTTGTTATTGTTGACGTTGTTTTGTTTTGTAGACAGGGTTTCTCTATGTAGTAGCCCTGTCTGTCCTGGAGATCACCTGCCTGTGCCTCCCAAGTGCTGCGATTAAAGGCATGCATCACCACCGCCTGGCCTGTGTGGGTTTTTAGTGTGTGTGTGTGGGGGGGGGTTGCTGAGGTTTTGTGGACTCTTGAGACACATGTTCATTCTTAGAGAACATAAAGGCCAAGCCTGAGTGGGAGGGGGTTGGTTGCCAGGGTCTTGCTCCGTGGTCCTCCTGTCCCAGAGCATCAGTCTCCTAAATGTGAAAAGGTTGACTCTCTCAGACTTGCAAAGTGTACTTGGGCAATAATTCAGAAACTGCTGTGGCCAGGAACTCCCATTTTGTAGATTGAAGGTACTCAGTGCGTTTTCTGCCTTGGCCTCATCTGGGCCCAGGTCACATTTGTGACTCGTCATGTGGAGGTAGGTAGCTGGCTGAGATGGAGTTCCTCCGTCCTAGACTGTTGGGCTTTGTCTGCATGCAGGCCTTTAGACACGTTGCAGTCCCATTGTAGGGTTAACCTTTGGAGAGCAGGGAAACCTCTGGCTTGTTCTTTTCCCTTCCTTCCTGTCTTTTCCTCTCTTCCTCCCTCCTTCCTTTTGATGCTTAGGACTGAACCCAGGGCTAAGCTCCTGCTCTTCCACTGAGCCCCCAAGCTCTCTCAAATCCATATGTTCACCGGGATCCCCTGGATAGGGCCAGCGGGCTTATAGGATAGGTTGTTGGAGTTCTGTGGCTGAGGTTTTTTTTGACGGGGGCTTTAAATGAATAGCACTAATTAAAACCTTCATTCCATAAGAAGGAGGGAAGAGTTTGGCTGTAGAGAGATGAACTGTGGGTTACTAGTAAACAGTTGTGTAGGTATTGGCAATGGATACAATCACTCATCCTTTGTGAGAACGTGGGGTCCATGATGTGAAACTGGTGCCAGGGTAACAGGTCATGTTTTTTGTGGGCAAGCAGGCAAGGTTGCCCACAGACCGCTTTTTCAGAAGGGCAGGGCTTTCATATACACGCTAGCTGGCATGAAAGGCTTCAGGAGCCCCCGGGATGGCAGTAGTTACTGGCCACCGGCCCTTGGCCTGGTGGATCTCAGGGCGTGGGGTGGCCACAGCACTCTTGACGCTTTGCGTCTCAGTGAGTGCTGAACTTGGGAACCCTTGAACTTCTCCACTTCACAAGTTGTTAGTGCAGTGCAGCCTGGCCTGGGATCAAGCTGGTTTTGAGGCCTCTCCCCTCCATTTCTGGGGCCCCTTCAGAGTCCTGACCTGGAGAATGGTAGAGCGTGTACCAGTAAGTGACGGCCTTACAGAGGACCCAGTGCCATGGGCTGAGGCTTGTAGACTATTCCAGCCACACCTGCCTTTGAACAAAGGAGAGAGAAAGGGAAGTAGACTCCCATCGGGTAACTTGAGTCTGGCCTTGGAAGGCCGCCCCCACACTCCATGCTCCTGAATAATTGAACAGGGAGGCTACTCCATTCCTGTGAGGCCTGGGCCTGTGGAGCCAGTCTTGAAGCTTGGTCCCTGTCATCTGCCTCCTGGACCTGAATGGGAGTAGGGGCTACATAATACTGGGGACACCTGGGAGGTCGGATTTCCCCCCAAAATAAAATGTGGCCATTGGGGACCTCTGGGGTGTGTTGTCCAGGACAGCTGACCTGGGGCCACTGTGGGCTTGGAGGTACTGGAGTCGCAGCTGCAGCTCAGTTCTGGTTCGCTCCAGGCCTCCACAAAAGGTCAGGGGTGGAGGTGTAGGGGGAGGTGCAGGATTGAGCCTAACGACCCACTTTATTTAATTGCTTTTATTTATTGTGATTTACTTATTGTGCTGGGGATGGAGTCCAAGGCTTTGCCCAGGCTAGACATTTACCACTGAGTGACGCATTAGCCTACAGTGTATTTTACAGAGAACTCTTTTTTCCCTTTTCTTCTCATTCTAATTTTTATTCTGTGTATATGTGTGTACCTGTTCACATCATGCGAACATGGATGCTCTCAGAGGCCAGAGGGTGTCAGATCCCCTGGAACTGGAATTACAGAGAGTTGTGAGCCACTCACTACCTGATCTGGGTGCTAGGAACTGGATCTGGGTCCATCTCTCTAGCCCTCCAAAGTGTGTTTGGAAACTGGGTGTAATCCCAGTATTGGGAAGGTTGGTGCAGGAGGATTATATAAATGGAGGCCAGCTACATAGTGAGACTTTGTCTCACACAAAGCAAAAGTGCATTTTCCTCAAAGACATGTATTCTGTTTACTGTTTGTGTGTGTGTGAGGTGTGAGTGTGGGCAGAGACCATGGCTCCTGAGGATTTGAAGTCATGTATTCTGTTTACTGTTTGTGTGTGTGTGAGTACAGGCCATGTGTGGTACACAGAGGCCATGGCTGCAGAGGATTTGAACTCAGGTATTCTGTTTACTCTGTGTGTGTGTGTGTGTGTGTGTGTGTACAGGCACACAGAGGCCATGGCTGCAGAGGATTTGAACTCGGGTCATCAGGCTTGCAGTGAGTCCTTTTACCTCGCTGAGCCAGCTCAGCAGCCCATAGGTATATTTTGTAATGTGTTTTGACATTGAAGAAGGCAAAGAGAATGCTGGGCGCAGCCCATGACTGTGTGGTGGCCTTCTCAAATGCTCGCTCTGTATGCGGAGTGGAGGCTCAGTAGCCCTGGCTGAACAGACAGGTACAGTGGTACCTAACTGTACTCCTGGTGCTAGAGGCGGAGGCAGGAGGACCACTGAGACTGAGAGGCAATCAGAACTGCAGAGCAAAACCCTGTCTCTAAACCTAGACACGGAGGGGTCAGGGAGTCATGTTCTTTGCTGGGAGCCCTAGTGAGGAGGGTCCCCCTTTTACCACTGGTCCCCGCTTGTAGGTAGTGTTGAAGATCTATGGAAGGCCCTCTGCATCAGACCCTGCTGCCCCACCAAAGCTGAGCCCTGTCTTACCCTTTCCGTCTCCCCTGATGAAGTTAGGTACCTGGCTGTAACCCCCTCTCCGTCCTCCCTGTTCAAAATCTCTCGTTACTGTGGGCAGCGCACAGGACTAACGTCATGATGATCATGCAGAAGTCATGCCAGGCTTGAAGTGTGAAGGCTGCCAGTACACACACCATGGTGTTTGTAGTGGGGACTATGTAGCTGGCCTTGGTGTGTGGTTCCTGGGTCCCCAGTCTTGGGGGCTGGTCTTGTGCATGACTCTGTAGTTCATCCCAGGGAATGGGGGAGAACAGAGCTCTCCTTTGGCTCTGCATTAGTGTTGAGCTCAAGCTTGAGACTTCTGGGGACGGGCTTGGGGGTCGCCCACCTTGGAGCACGTAGATGGGGGTTATTGGATGGGCCCGCTGGCTGGTGTGAAACACCAGCAGAGAATTTTTTTGAGCTGGTGCATTGGTGTGTGCACATTTGCAGCCCACACGGGTGAGGCTGGAAGATGGGAGTTCAAGGTTAATCTGGGCTTTGGAGAGAGAGCCCTCATCTCTCTCCTATTTCATAGGAGAGCCGTGGGGTGCCAGCAGTAAGCAGCCTTAATGAGCTCATTCTTGTCCTTCTCTCTCTCTCTAGAAACTCGAAGGGTCTAAGTGCAAAGGGCAGCTTTTGATTTTTGGGGCGACCAACTGGGACTTGATCGGACGGAAGGAAGTCCCTAAACAGCAAGGTAGGAGAAACTGTCTGAAAGATGACTGACTGCTTCTTGTCAACCAGGTGGTCGTTGGAGTGCTAGCTCATGCCCTCCAGGTAGGTATTCTCTGCAGTTGTGGGCATGTTCAGAGAGGCCACGCAAATTGCTTGAGGCCACAAAGCCACTTTGGTGAGGGTGCTGCATCTGAGCTGAACCTGGTCTCATGCACGTTGTGCCTTCACAGTCCTGTATTTAAAAGACTCAGATGACTCGGAAATGTAGTCCTCAAACAGGCATGGCCCCCTGAGTCCTTGAGATTGCCTTTCACTACAAGGAAGGGGCTGGCCGTGTGCTGAGGTGCCGTGGGGCCCCAGACGCTTGTCAGATGTGATGATGGAGATGAACAGGCTACTTAACTGGCTTGTGAGAAGAACTCAGTGGAACTAGTAAGCTGTGGGAGTGGGCACTGTCCCACCAGTGTCCTGTGTCCAGCTGTCCCTAGAAGATGGGTCCCTTCCTGAGGGGCCTCTTGGAGAAGAAGGCTGGCTTGGTGCCACACTTGATGGCTCTTGATTCCATTTGGACACATGCCCAAAGTGCTTCCCAGCATTGCTTTGTTTGAACAAATATTTGAACACTGGCACACCCTAGTGCCCAGACCTAGGAGCCTTGGCCATCACCCTGCTCCAGGAAGATGGTATGGATGGAGCTGACTGGCTGTGGCTCCTTGTGGAAGATACCCATCCTTCAGCACAGCCCTGGGCACCTGTCAGTCCTCATGAGTGAACAGAGTTACCTCTGCAGCTAGGGCACACAGGGTTCCTGTTCTCCAGTGTGTCCATTCCCCTGCAGATATGGCAAGGGTACCTTGACCTGGCTGTCACCTCTGCCTCCCATGCCCTCTGTGGCCCAGAAGCTGTGCCACGAGTCCAGAGCAGACCAGACTGGTGTTGGGAGTCTTGCCAACGTGCCCATCCCAGGGGGCTTCCTCTCCCAACTGTGCTTGTGCCCCCTGCCGGCCTGGCTCTAGAGTCGGGTGTGTAGTTTCATTAAGTAATTGTCGACGTTCAGCTGTGTCGAGGCGGTCTGTGACTTTGCCTAGAGCTGTTAGGCAAGGTCTGCCTCCCACCACCCTGCAGGTAGAGGGGGCTCTTTGTAGCTCCTTCCCTTAGCGTGCTCTAGTTTGTGCGGCAGCATGGTGGTCTTGGCTGTGGCCTGTGGTGAGGACGGTGTGTGTGTGTGTGTGTGTGTGTGTGTGTCTGGAAATGGTGGCATTAATGTCTGCAGCCTGGGAAGCTGGGGCCACTGCCAGCTTGTCCCTTTCAACTGAAATGGGGGGAGGGAGGGAGGGAGAGAGGGAGTCCCTGGGACAAGGAGATACCCCGATGTTCTTATAGCTGATCATGGTGCCCTCTTCAGGGAAAGGGGCATTGGTGGGGTGCCAGAGAGCCAGAGTCCACCTGGGCCAGCTAGTTCAAGAACCAGGCCATTCTCTGCTGCACTCCTCAGCCCCTCTGGTGCCCGGGAGTTTCATCTCATGGGTGACCAATGGGGAGCCTCTCCGTGACCTGCCTGCAGGGCTGTCTGAGCCACCTCAGCTGTGGCCAGTTTCTCAAGCTAGCTACCATTGTCCTGGAGGGAAAACAAAGCCACACCCCTACCTTGAGAAACGGGAGTGGCAGCTGGCTCCCAGGGGTGTGCCCTGGTGCCAGATTTGAGGCCTGGCGAGGACAGGCCCGTGGCTTGGTCCCTGCTGCCTGTCACCACCAGTTATAGTAGGTAGGATGCTTGGGATGGGATACAGGTTAAATAAGGGGTACAGTGCAAAGTCCAATGTGGGTGTCCCAGAAAGTTTGAAGGGCTAGTAGGGACCATGAGAGGACATGCTTGGGGGAAGTGACTTGGTGGGCAAGTCAGGTGACAGTTCAGCAAGTCAGCTGAAGTTCCTGGGTGTGGGTGGAGCTGAGTGGCTGACAAGACCCCCCTCCAGGGAAGCAAGTGGGTCCGAGGACGATGGGAACACCAAACCTCAGAAAGACCTGCTTTCGGGCTGTGGGGAGGCCTGGGGTGCAGGCAGGAGGGTAGACGGGAGCACCCAGAGATGAGCCTGTGCCACACCAGACGGGTTACAGGAAGGCCAGCCCTGCCCTGTGGTGGGGTTGGGGCCCAGGAGCTGTGTGGGTCTGAGGAGAGGTGTTGGTGCACTCACTGAAGAGTGGCCAGTGACTCCAGGCAGGCTTGGTTTGGTGCGACCCCTAGGTGAGATGTTGGGGTGTCCTTACCTGTCTGGCCCTGCTCCACGGGAGCCTAATTCGTGTTCTTCCCTTTTGCAGCTGCTTACCGCAACCTTGGTCAGAATTTGTGGGGGCCCCATAGGTATGGGTGCCTGTCGGGAGTCCGGGTGCGGACTGTGGTTTCGGGTTCGTGTGCTGCCCACAGCCTCCTCATCACCACAGAAGGGAAACTGTGGAGCTGGGGTAAGTATTGAATGTGGGTGACACACACATGCTCTGAAGTATGACTTGAAGTCACCTGGAAAGAGGCCCTGTCTTCTGTCTGGATCCATGGTGGTTCTCTCTCTCTCTCTCTCTCTCTCTCTCTCTCTCTCTCTCTCTCTCTCTCTCTCTCTCTGTGTGTCTCGCGCATCACACGTGGTGGAGGTCAGGACAACTTGGGAGACCATTCTTGCCTTCCCCATTTATGTGGGTTCTGGGGATTGAACCCAAGGCTCCAGGCTTGTGCAGCAAGTTCCTTTACCTGCCGAGCCGTCTCACTAGTTCTGTTCTTTGAATCCTTGGAGGTTGTTTTCCTGAACTTGAGACGGGTGCTGCCATCCCTCCGACCAGCCATCTGTTCCTGGCCTGTTGTCCTGCTTTGTGGCCCCACGTGGCAGGAGACCTGTGTTCCGTTACTCTTGAATACCACTCCCTCCCTGGCTCTTGTGTGTGGCTAACACGTCTGTTAAGAGGCCCCTGTGGCTCCTGGCCTTCGGTCTGATTTCGGGACTTTGCCCACATCTTCCTTTCCTCCTGTGCCAGCCTCCCTCATGCCAGGCTGTCCTGACTCCAGCTCTCATTTTTTCCAGGTAGGCCAGGAGATAGTGCTCAAGGCTCACGTCATCCAAGCCTCAGGGCTCTGCGGCTCCGGGGGAGTTGGCTTCTCCATTTGTTTCTAGCCTTTGGCTGGCTTCTAATCCATATGACGTTTTTATTTTGGTCTGTTTGAGCCATTTTTTTGGTGATTTCATGAGCTGCTGCACCAGAGTCCAAATGTATTAACATCTGCCGTCTTTCTGCATTTCGCTAATTTTATAATTCTGTTGAAAAAAATTAACAAGTGTGTGTGGCCCACATTTATCCTCCCGGGCTCTGGGTGACACACCGACATCTGCTCCATTTTTGTTTTCTCGGTTGGCAGAGGACCCCTCCCCCATTCCCTGCTCTTCGTCCTCCGCACTGGCCAAGGCCTTTTAGGTCAGTGTCTCCAACTTCAGCAGCTTCTCTTTGAGCTCCTTGCCATGGCACTCAGGTTCTAGATTGCCTCAGGGCAGACCCTATGACAAGAGTGATTCCCATAGAGCAAGAGAGGGAGCTCTCTGGAGCCCCAGTGGGGTTGTGGAGACCAGCCAAGAGGTCAGGAGACCACTGTTAGACACTTGACGGAAGGGCAGCCGCCAGCAGGCCTCCTGAGCAGGAGGGAGAGTGCTGTGTTCTGTGTCAGAACTCTGAACTTGGGTATGGCAGGCTCCTCCTGAAGTTGGCGTCTGTCCAGTGCTGGCCCTGGAGCTAGCCCTTAAGTGATGCTCGTCTCCTGGGAGGGTTCCCTGTGAGAGAGGCTAGTCACCTGTTCTGCCCGCTTCCTGCAGGCTGCTGGGGCTCAGCTCCCCGTGGGGAAGATTAGTGTGAACCCCACCCTGCTTGTGGCTCTCCTCTTCCAGCCTTGTACAGTCTCCACCTTGACTTACCCAAGTGCTTCTCTGAGAGACACATGGTCCTGGGGGTTCTCTTGGGTTTTGTTTTGGATCTGTGTTGGAACCTAGGTAGTATTTTAGGGCTTCCAGCTGTCCTGGAGCCCACCTAAGCTGAATCAGGGCTCCCTAGAGGAGCCGTGAATTGCTTAGGTTTCCACAGGGCTGTGTGTGTCTGTGTCTGTGTCTGTGTCTGTGTCTGTGTCTGTGTCTGTGTCTGTGTGTCCCGCTTGCTCTCAAACATCCATGGATATAACACAGCTGTCCAGAAGGAGGTGG